CCCCAAAACCCCAAAACCCCAAAACCCCAAAACCCCAAAACCCCGACTATTCCTAATAAGCCTGACTATAATTTATAAAATTTCCTATAAATTAACATGGCGCAAGAGAACCCAAATATCTTCTTCATTAATAAAGAAAATGGGGATGGAGCCAAGCCAGAGACTGAATCGTTCGAAAATGCTGAGTTTACCCTCACAGATGAAAATGGAAGGAATAAGGTTAGAAATAATATATTTAATGCCCTCACTGGGTCTGGAGATGTAGAGGACCTCCAGCAAGCACAATACCCACCAGCACAATTGACCGAGATGATAGAAGAGGAACTGATCAAGGAGTTTAAAGAATGAGAAAAAGCTAGTTACAAGTCAGCCTCGGCTAATGCTATTAAAAGACTGAGTGGTAAAAGATTTGCTGAGTCAAGGAGACAACTTGCTCATGGTGAATTCGAAATTATTGATTTTATTAAGGGCAAAAATCCTAAACCTCAGAGAAGAGCACAAACGGCAAGAAGAAGTCCTCCAGGTAGGACGCCGCCAAATTCAAATGGACCTGGCCCAGTCAATAGAAGTAGAGGAGTCAGACCTCCTGGGATTGCAAATAGAGGAGCAAGGGGTAGAGGCGCTCCACCAGGAATACGGGGAGTTCCTAATAGAGGTCGTGGAAGAGGAGGAATGCCAGCCAGAGGAGGACTACTTAGAACAGTAGAGCCAGTACCAAACCCGCCTATTCAACCTCAGCCTGAGGAAGAAAATGATGAAGGGCAAGAAGAAGAACATAATGAAGACGAAAGACCTCAGCAGCCTGCTATTCAAATTCCTCAAGAAAATAGTCAGGAAGAAAGTAAAAATGTAGAGAAGGTTGAAGAGGAAGTAAAACAAGATCCTGTTGAAGAAGCAGTAAGTCCTCCAGTGAAGGAAGATAATCCTCCTGAAGAAATGGAAACAAGCAAAGATCAAAAACAAGATGATGGTCAAAATAAGACTCCAAAGATGCCAAAGAGCGGAGACAGAAGAGGTCAACCAAAGCCTGGAAATCAAGGAGGTCCTCCCCCAGTCATAGCTACTAGAGGAAGAGGGCACCGCCCTTCTCCTGCTATCAGAGGTAGAGGGGGAAGACCACCAATGGTGGCTCCTAGACCCGTTCCAACCCAACAACCTATTCAGCAAACTGAACAACAACCAGTTAAAAGAGTAGAAATAGAAGAAGAAGTTGTTCATGAAGAAGAAAAGAAAGTTGAAGGAGTAGATTCTCATGAATCACAAGAAGGACCAACAAAAGTATCCCATCAAACTCAAGAAGGAAACTTAAAGTTTGAAGGGAACACTAATTTTGAAGAATCTCAAAGGAAGAAAGCTGAAACAAAGGACATGTTTGGGCAAATCTTTGGAAGTGACGAACCTGACAAAAACAGTAAAAATAGAGGACGATCTCCTAACTTTAGTGAACAAAGGTACGCCACACATGAGGATGAGGATATTTCAGAGAGTTACAATCCTACAGGTCATAATACAGAGAGGCCTTCTAAAACTCAGAATTCTACTAAAAGGATCAATCTTAACAAGACGGTTGATTTATTTGCTGATAATTCTGGAAGGATCGAAGCTGAAGAAGTTGAAAATGCTGGATCTGAAACAAAGGATGCTCTAAACACCTCCTTTGGTATTGAAGATGCCTCTCCACTAAACGGAGGACAAGAGAATAATGATGCATCTAGCACAACCAAGATATTTGCTTCATCAGCACACGATGAACATGGCAATAGATCGAAGACTCCTCCTGTTCATACAAGAAGACATCAACTTCAGAGTGAATCTAATGACAAAACTGAATATCATAAACCAATAGGTGCAAACCACGATTTCCTTATAGAAGAGCCTGTGATGGAGCCTGACAGAAATGACCAGCCTTCAGATGATGAAAGAAGTGTTGAAACTCCAACAATCAACGAAGAGAACTTAAATAATGATTCTGAAGAGATCTATCAAAATAAAGACAGTGATTCCCCTCAACATTCTAAAAAGGTTCCTGTTGATATTAACCAAGACGAAGAGACCAAGGAAGAAAAGAAGATAAATATTGACAGGAATAAACGCACTAAGATACTTTATGAAGAAGATAAGCATGAAGAAACTCAGCATTCTGTAACTCACAATAAATTAACAAAGGGTGAGTTTACCATCAATGAAGCCCAGGACCATAAGAATTCAAGCTTTGGAGGAATCTCAGCTATCGGAAACAACATCAAAACTCTAAATATGAGCAAATATGACCAGTCTGCTCCCTTCAGTAGAACTTCTAGCGTGAAATCCATACCTGATGAGCTAGAACTGGCTTATGAGAGCCTGAAGAATAAGAAGTTAGAATGTGAATCTCTCCAAAAACAACTAGAGCAAAGAAATAATGAACTACAAGTCCAGAAGCAAGTGAATAGCACATTAAAGATAGAACTCGAAAATGAAAGAATGAAAAAGCAAGAAGGAAATATTAACGCAAAGCTTCAAGCTGAAAACCAAGAATGATGGAGAATCATCAGTCAACTTAAGAAAGAGCAGGAGGAGTATCAACATACAATTTTCCAGGCTCTCCAAGGACTTGGCAACTTCGATGCCAGGTCTCTAGACCAGTCTAGTACTCTAAACAAGGAAGAAAAGAAGTATGAGGAAGAGAAAATAGATCCAGCTAAAGACCATAAGTATGATTATGAGGAATATCTCAGACAAGAACAACCTATGCAGCAGCATATCGCTCCTCCAGCGAGACATCATGCCCAGCCTAATGTTGCCACCCAGAAGATGATCAACAACGCTGCTGGGAGCGGCTCTAACCAGGAAGACTTCATTCAAGACAGAAATAATTATGAAGAGGAATACCATGAATATGAAATGGATGATGCCTTCGGCCATGGCTACAACGAGGAAGGCACCAGTGGTGGAAATGCTAAAGCTGCTGAATATGACAAAGAAGTCAAGCCAACGACTACTCATAAACAAAACATGAATGAGAGCAATATTAAAGCTGAAGACAGAGTAATCCAAGGTAATGAACGAAGAGGGAGGCAGATAAAAGGAAACAAAATGAGAGCTCCAAACAAAACTCAAGAAGCTGGTAGAGATTCCACTGATGAGTATGAAGAAGAAGACAAAAACACAGCAATGAATTCCTCTTCAGGAATTCAATCAGCTCACTACAAAAAGAGGGAGAAAGGCAAGCAGAGCCAACCTCTAGGAAGACAAGTTGATGGAAGTTCTTCATCACAATTTCATAATACGGCTAAACAGGATTTAAGAGTTGGTGGAATGGAATCATATATTCCAAATATGGGATCAAACTATGCTCCTCATCCTCATAATAAATACAGACAAGGAGTTCCAATGCAAAACACGAGTACTGGAGATTCTAGCTACTTTACTCCAAAAATGCCAAATAGAAAAGATCAAAAGCTTAGTGCTGAGAGTGGCGGGACTGATTTCAACCAGAACCAGAGCACTACCAACAACCAAGAAGATTCTAAAACTCCAGTAATGATTCTTTAGCCTTCATTTTAATTAAAGTTTCCTTTGGTCTTTAAACCAGAATATCTAACGATAATTTCTAGAATAACACTCAAGGAAATTCCACAAATTCTCAGAGGATGCAGTCAAGAGCCAATGTACCTCCTCTCAACATGGCACATAAGATGCCATCTCCAGAATTTGACCAAAGGAATCATGGGCCAAAGAACCGAGTTGTAGGAGGCAACCATGAGGAAGATGTCCTCCTTGGCGAGAATGAGGTGTCTACACCAAGAAGAAAGGACCAATTCGAAAATGACTCTAAAAAGACTAGTGGTGCTTCAACTCCTTCCAGAGATGGAGCTGATACTCCTACCAGAAAGAAGTTTAATGAACACCAGCAGCAGCTAGGTGAGAATAAAGGCTTTATTCATGATCTTACAGCTGCTAATATTAGCAGAAAGTATCCAATAGACAGACCTCGAGGTGCTCAGAATGCTGAGAATAGCAGAAACACTCATTCTTCGAACAATATTTACCCACAGGTGCCGTTCGGGGAACAAATGGAACCACCCCAGTTTAACTCTCAGAATTCTTTTGAAGATAGAAAGAATAACGAAGGAGACATTCTAAATGACAGAGACAATAATTACTACGAGAGGGAGAGAGAGCAGCAGTTTAGGGATAGCGCAAGCAGATGGGAAGCTCCACAATCCTTTGAGTAAGCCATTAACTTAATAAGCTCCTTTCAATTTTTGTCTCCAAATCTGGGGTTTTGGGGTTTTGGGGTTTTGGGGTTTTGGGG